CACCAAAAGAGTGTGTGTGCCCCCTCCTGCAGCGTCTTGTTGAACCCCTCAGCCAAGCCCTTCTGCTGTGGGTTGTAGGGCTCTGTCAGTTGATGCTGGATCCAATCCTCTTCAGCTCCTCCTCAATATCAGCTCCAATGAACTCTTGAACATTGTCACTGCGGATCACCTTCACCTTGTGTCCGCACTCCCTTTGAGCTCTAGGCATCCAGTCCTAAGGACAGCTGCTGCCACCTCCCCCTTGCTCATGACAGGGTAAAACCACACTGCTCGAGTGTGGTCATCAATAATTGTCAAGAAATTATGGCTACCCTGAGAGGGAACGGGCTCTTGTGGGCCCCACCACATCCATGTGCACAAGTGCAAGTGGGGTCTTGGCTGGTCCTGTAGTGCTGTTGAAAGGGAACTTGGAGAACTTGGTATGGTAGCTCCGAATCTCCTTCACTCCCCCTTTCACCTCCAAGCCCTTCAAGCTCCCATCCTTCACCAACTTCTGCAGCATAGTGAAGTTCATATGACACAGCCTCTCATGCCATGTCTCCCAATTAGCCTCACCACTCCTAGATGAAGCCTTGGCCCATGCCGCACTCGCATCCATACCAGCAAACACCTCACCAAGTTGTTGTTATTGCTGTACTTTCTTGACTACTTCCAAGACCCCATCAATTGGTGCAGTTGCATCTCCTCCTGCTGTTGCCTTTGCCGCTACTGCCGTTGCTGCTGTTGGGGTCTTTCCATTCCAAGGGATGACGGGCAGCTGCGACAGGTCCTTGATGCAGCTGGTCTCCTCTTCCAGACTCTACAGTACCTTCTTCCCAAGCTTAGCACGACAGTTGCTTTGCCCAAAGGTAACTTTGGCCTTGCTCTTCTGCAGTCACCGCACAGAGAGAAGGTTAGCAGACAAACCTTCAACCAGCATAACATTTTCAAGTCCCACAAGCTCCCCATTAGCTCCCTTAAGCTTGACATTCCCAACACCAACGACACGGAGCAAAGCATCTGACGCTGGTGCCACATACTTGATCTTCCCAAGGGGTTTTACCTCATCAAGCAAATCTGCTTGTGAGGTCATGTGACTTGTGCAACCTGAGTCAATCACCCAGTGAATGAGAGTGTGCATCACAACATTTCCTACTGATCCTACATGACCCTCATGCCCATGCACATCCTTAACCATTAGAAACATCCCAAACGAGGCACTACCTTGTGCACCTTCACCTTGTGCACCTAAAACTTGCTTTGCGGCACCTTGTGCATGTTCACCACTTGGCGGCTTCATGCCTAAAGGTGCTCAACCCTCAGGCCTGCTGAAGCACTTGAACCAAAGATGCCCAACCTTCTTGCAGTACCAGTAGGTGCCCTCCATTTTGGTGCCACCAGAACTCCCATGCCCCTCCTTATAGTCACCTCAGCCTCCACCTCCGCCAAAGCTCCTCCCACGGCCTCGGCCTCTCCAACCCCCTCTTCATGTGCCACACCCTGCAGCTCCATACCCGTCAGCAGTCTTAGTGGCAGCACTGCCTCCCACATGGTGTCTGCAGAAGTCCTCCAGCACAATCTGCTGCCTTAGCCACTTAGGTGCCCATTGATCTTGCTGGGAGTTGAGGGTGGGAATGAGGCTGTCCCAAGTGTTGTGAAGCACCAAGAAAATCTTGGTGCACTGCTGCAGTTTAGACACACTGCTGCCCGCTGCCGCCATTCTCGCATAGGTGTCCTTGATCTTGTCAAGGACCGGCTTTACATCATCCCCCATTCGCATGGAGATAGCAGCAAGTTCCTTCTCGAGCACGATCACCATTGGAAGTGTGTTGGGCTGAATTACATCACGTAGCAGCTTCGATGCCTTTGGTCCCGAATCATCCGCCGCCACAAGGTCCTTGATGTGCTCGAACATTTCCTAGTTAACCGATTGAAGAATGAGGTTGAACAGCACCGCGCTCTTCTCAATCCACCGTTCGCGGGAGTCACCATCCTCCGGCATCTTCTCCTCCCCAACAGCAAACTTCAGTAGCTTGTAGCGCTTGAAAGCACTCCGCATGTGCCCACTCCACTCCTCATAGTTGGAGCCATCCAATGATTCAACCTTGGATGGTGGCAGTTCACTTGTCTTCTCAGGTACAGCTCCTCTTCCAGCAGCATCTCCTCCTCTCTCATTCATCTTCTCCTTGGGAAATGCCGAATTTCAGCTCCCCTTTGCTGTCCACACTCAGGTGCCTCGATATATTCACAAGTGTCGGAGTCCACATAATTTTACAACACCACTTAGGAACACCCACAGGCCATGGTGGGTCTAGAAGGGTCTTCACACATTTTTAGACTCCTCTCAATGCCCTTAATATCGCTCTGATACCATTTGTCAGAATTAAGGATGGAGTCTAGGTGGACTTAGGAGCTAGAATTACCTAAAATATAAATACGAAATTGTGGACAGAAAACTTCAATTAAGGTCCAACAATCCCACAAGGAATTAGAGGAGCAAGAAAGAGGTTGGAAAGGAAGAGAGGGATGATAGGGAAGGTCCCAAGAGAGTCCCCAACCAAGGAAACCCCATAAGCACAAACATTCCCTCCCTATAAGAACCCCAACTTTGAGATTTGTCCCTTCCCAACCAATCCAACCAAGTTGGTCACACTAGCCAACCTAGCTTGGTTGTTCCCAACCTATTTGCAGCTGCTACTGTACAGTGACGAATTTCCCAACCCCCAATGGTCCATATTCCATATTGAGTCACCCCACAACTTTAGTCTGTAACTGCCGCACTTGTAACACAAGCTTATGAACTTTAAAATGTTCATAGCTTTCTTGTTCTTGCTACGATTGAAGCGAGTCTTCATCCGATAAAAAACTCTTCTCAAGAGAAGTCATTTCAAATACTTGCTCAAGCATAATATCATCAACCACATTCACATAACTCCAGAAACACACCATACAGTAAGACTTGCACACATTGAAACCACACATGCAAATTCAAAACATGGGATGGGAGGCAGACAGAATGTGGTAGATATGATGCCATCACACAACACTAGCGAGCTGCTGGAGGCGGCGAGCTGGGGGCAGCTTCTGGCAGCAAGCTTGCAGCAAGCAAGCGGGCAGCAAGCTGGCGGCGGTGAGCTGCGAGCGAGCCACTGGCGGCGGCTAGCGGACGGCGAACTAGCAGCGAATTGCACGCTGCTAGCGGCGGCGAGCTGGCGGTGGCTGGAAGGCAGGCTGGCAGAAAAATGCAGGCAGCGTGAAGGCAGGGCAGCAGCCTAGGAAAAGAGCTCATGCTAGGGCTGAAGCTAGAGCGACAGACTACAGCCTAACTAGGGCTAAGGAGGTAACCTAGGATGGGAGGGGAGTGGGTAGCGCCTAGGGTGGAAGCGTGACAACTAAGAGCTTGACCTAGCACTATACCATTGTGAGAGAAAAGCTGACTAGAGAGGAGAGACACAAGAGCATATTTAGGTGTTGTACCCTATATAGCGAGTAACCTGGCTGGACTATAGTGTTTATATATACTCCTAACAAAGATATATATATATATCCTTTACACTGCATTTTTTATATGAGCTGGTTTCGTGTGGTTCGGAATGGTGGATGCAAAGGCTGAAACAAGGTTCGCCTGATTAAAGCCAGCAGCCAAAGTAGCAGACCCTGGAAACCACTTTAATCTGGTGCGTTGAATGTTGTCTTATGGTGCATTCCCGCGAGCTACGACAATTTAGCTTCAGTCAGTTTGTTGTAGCTGCATGGCAGTTTGGTCCAACTTCTCGTCACATTGAATTTTTGTTTGCGACCTTGAGCGATACGCATGGCATGTGGTGCTTGGGAGACTGTGTATAGGAACATTCCGATCATCAAACATGTTTGAAAGACGAAGTTCAAAAACCAATTCAAAACCACCACAAACGCACAGAGGCAGAGAACTCAGCAGCATCCCGCCATGGATCGTGCCCGTGCTTTGACGTGTGGTTTGAGCATATTTTTTTGGCTACCCAGGCTCGAAATTTGGCTGAACTCCCAGCTATGTTTTTCCCAGCATTTGGCAGCGTTTTCGGATTGGTTTCCAAAAATTGTGAGGAGGAGAAGACAAGTGCATGGGAATCCTCGGGCGGCCAGGTGATGGTCGTCAGGAGCGCGCGAATCGGTGAAAATGGCAGGACGTACGGCGATGTACGTCCTTTGTGCCATGTAGCTGTATGGTGAAGTGTAGCTGTGTCGCTGGCATCGGCGTTTCTGGCAGGCTAGTTGCAGGCGATGGACGGGACTTCCGTGCTATTTTGGCAAAGGGCGACAGCGATTACTTCGGACTGCCACATCAAGTTCCTCATCTGTTGGAAGGGCTATGACCCGTCCAAGGACAGTTGGGTTAAGGAATACGACATGGGTACCCGTGTTCTCTGATAGTACTTTCTCAAGCAGGGTGTTACAGATACCACCTAGCTCTGAGGGGGGGAAGTGTGAGAGCATGATAGGTTTCCTAGGAGAAAGGACTATTTCTATAGTTCGTATGAAACTATTGATTAATACTCCTTTTAATTACTCGGATTATTTGATCCAAAGTGGTTATTTGGATTATTCTCGCTTATCATAAGTGTATATGTTATCGAGATCAACTGTTGCGTACGCCGAGTGTTCACCGTATTTCGGCAAATCCTCTAGTGCTTTTAGAACAGTTGCTTATAGAGGGAAATGGTTCCTTTCTGGAACATTCACGTTTTAGCTAGACTCGCGCCTCGCTCGCAGGACCTCGCGAGTGCTCGCCTATAAATTGTGTTGTTCCTCGGGATTGTGATTCGAGATTCAACATTCGTTCTATATTTTAGATTCTCTCAAACCACGCATAGCGCATTCGATCCTGTGACACGACTACCCTCCTTTGCACCAGTTACTACTTGAAGAATAACACGATGTCCTGAACGCCAGACACTTTGGTAGCAGCAAGACGCTCACCGGTATTGCAAAGCACTACTACTGGCACCACATGGCAGACGACGTGTAGAAATTTGTCACCTCGTGCGACACATGTTAGCGGATGAAGCGCAGTAAGCAGATGAAAGCAGGACTGCTACAGCCTCTAACTGTCCCAAAACAGCCATGGCAAGTGGTTAGCCTGGACTTGATAACTGGGTTACCAACTACAACTACAGTTATGACACAACCTTGTCGTCATCGACAAATTCTCTAAAATGGGACACTTCATCTCAACACACACAACAGTACGCACAAAAGAGATGACACAACTGTTCGATTGCTACATCATCTCCCAGCATGGCAGTCCAACCACACTCATCTCCGACCGAGACCCCAAGTTCACCAACAAGTTCTAGAAGGAACTTATGTCTCTACTCGGCACCAAAATCGCCATGTCATCTGCATACCATCCACAGACAAACGGACAAACCGAACGCCTCAACTTAATTGTAGAGCAACTCCTCCACACAGCATGCAAGGACGACATCTCCAAATGGGACTTGCATCTACTCGTCCAGGAGTTTGCCTACAACAACGCAACTCATGTCGCTACTGGACAAACACCATTCTTCCTTTGTTACGCACGCAACCCACTTATCACCACAAAAACCAATAGCACCAGCGACAGTCCAGCCCGCACATGATTTCATCACCACCATGCATCGACTTTGGGATTGGACCCACAAGCGCCTCATCGATATTCAGCAGCAACAGAAACGCCAGGCCGATCGCCACCGCAATGACCACACCATCACCATGGGAGACCGTGTTCTACTCGACACACGCTATCTCGACATCAGCCATCTCCCATCCAAACTTTGACCTCGCTTCTGCGGAGCTCTTTTTTTGTTGAAGCCAAGGTCACCTCCATAACCTTCCGCTTACGCGTGCCAGCTTCTTGGAAGTTTCATAACGCCTTCCATGTCCAACTTCTGAAGCCGTACCGCGATCCCAACATGATCTTCACTAGACGCCAACCGCCCCGCCGCTGCCCGTCCTCGTCCATGATGAATCTGAGTACGAGGTCGAGTCTGTGCTTGCACACCACCGTCGTCGAAATGGCAACTTGGACCTTCTCATCCGTTGGAAGGGTTATGCTCCTTCTGAGGATAGCTGGGTCTCCGAATCCGACATGGGTAACACCCATCGTTCTCATCGCGACTACCTTGTCAAGCAGGGTGTTACTTCGACCACCCAGCTTTGAGGGGGGAAAGAGTGAGAGTAGGACCACGTTACACTCTTTCTCATTTCTATATTTTTTCTCTATCTCATTCTCCTTTTTATCCTAGTTCAATTGGTCTTTATCTCATCTCGTTTGATTTCCTATTCCTCATTTTCCATCATCCTTTGGGTTATCCTATTATTATCATTATTGTAGCCCTAGCTAGGGCACACCGTAGGCCTCGCTAGCTCCTAGCGCCTTGTAGGCTCCGTCGCCATACCGCGCACTAGCCTGCACACTAGCTCTAGCCCACGCCCTAGTCCGCGCTCGTGCCGCCAACCTGTCGCTTGGTGCCTTGCTAGCCACTGCTCGCCAAGCGCTACTGCCTGCTGCTCGTTGCCTGCTGCTCGTCGCCTGCTGCTCGTCGCCCGCTGCTCGCCGCCCGCTGCTGGTTCCCTGCCTGCCCACTTGCCTGCGCGTGCGCTCGTAGCTAGCGCTGCAGCCGCCAGCACGCCGCAGCCATCAACGCTGCAGCTGCCCACGCCGTAGTCACCAATGCCGCAGCCACCAACGCCGCAGCCGCCAATGCCGCCGTCGCAGCCACCGCCAGAGCCACCGACGTCGTAGCTCGCCGCTAGTCGACAGTCCCTGTCACCTTGTTCACAAGTCCCTAGCTGCTAGCCATAGCCGTGGTCAGCCGTAGCCGTAGCCCAAGCCGCCTGCTGTTGAACCCGCCGTCAGATCTGCCGCCGTACGCCGGCCTCGTCAACACCAGCTGCTGTCGGGGTACGTGTGGCGTCATGGTCTCTTGCCGGCATGGCGGCCCCATTGGCGTCGGAGTTCGTCCTTCGGCTGGACGCCGAAGGTCGCACAGTCGGTTCACGGCCTAGCATTCCGCCCTGCGCACGCAGCTGACGAGCCAGCGTCTACACGGCGAGTTGCTCGTGGCCGACATCACTAAGGAGCTGCCCGCTCCCTCCCGCCCTGCTCCCCTTAGCACTGAGGCGAAGTCGGAGCAGCGTGCAGAGTACGAGGTTGCCCTCGTCAAGCGACGTCGCCGCACAGGTTGCCATCATCCAGTACCTACCGGTTGATGAGCACTCCCACTTCGCATTGGAGGAGACGGCTCAGGCCTACTGGGACGCGATCGTTGCCCACTACTCGACCCCGTCCTCCGCCACCCTCGGTCGCCTCTTCCTCCCGTTTCTCTTCCCCGCCCTGGCTTTCTTCCTTACGGTCGCGGACCTCGTCTCGCACCTGCGCTCCCTCGAGGCTCGCTACCACGCGGCCGTCACCGAGGCCCAGCTCACTTCCCCCCCCCCCCCTCCTTCACCCTTATCACACTTTACCTCCTCGCCACTCGCCTCCTTGACCGCCTCGGCCTTGCGCGTGATGCCCTTCTTGCACTGCACCCTGCTGACCTCACTATCGACCTCTTCTCCACCTCCCTGGCTCAGACGAAAACCCGCCTCTGTGCCATCGCTCAGACTACTTGGGCCATGGCGTTCCCTATATCTCAAGGTAGCCCTCCGTCCGAGCTCCCAGTCCCTGCTGCCTTCTCCTCTGTCGCTGAGACCGCTGCGGCGATCACTGCGTTCGGTCGCTCTTCTGGTAGTTTGCGGCGCTCTCTTGGACGTGGGGCATTGGCAGCGGCCGGCTGTGGGGGCGCTGGTGGGGCCTGGGGTGCTGGTAGAGGGGCAGGTACGGAGGAGGAGGGGGAACGGCAGCAGCCACAGTAGCCTCAGCAGCAGCAGCAACAGAGCTCGCAGCAGCAGCTGCTGCTGCCGTGGGGGCCGGTGGGCCCTGGGAGTGTTGAGCGTGGTGGGGGCCTTGGTGGATGGGCCTGGGGCAGTTGGTGCCCTGGGGTTCGGGTTCCTATTATCCTGGTGTGTATTGTCTAGGCTCCTCAGCCGTGTGTCATCTTGGATCCCCTACTGTTCCCCCACCGGCCCCCGCTGCGGCGGCCCTCTCCTTCACACTCTACCCTGGAGCATCTCACTACTTCTTCCGAGACCACACTGCTCCCACACCACTTCCGGCACTGGTACCGGTCTCCCTAGCAGAATCGCCTACCACGGTCGTCGCCTGCAGCACCACGGCGCTTCCTTGCCCCGCTGTCCCACCCGGCTCCCTTACCGGCCTGCATGTCCCCACGTTTGCTAGGAACCTAATGGTGTCTGACATATTCAGGACCTTGGTGTCACTACCACGTTTCCTGGGCACGTGAGGTATGCAGCACGGCCTGGCCACTAGACTCCCTACGTCGCTCTCCACCCTCCCCGCCTCGTTAACACCCATGTGCACCTCCTGCATCAAGGGCCGATAGTGTGCTGCCCCTCTTTCCTCCTCTTTTCCTCCGGCCACTCCTCCGCTCCAGATGTCCTGGATGTCTGGGCCCCCACCCCGGTCCCTAGGCCTTACAGGGAGCGCTACGTCTTGGTTGTCGTAGATGACTTCTCGCGCTATGCCATGGTGTTCCCGTTGGAGCGGAAGGTTGACGTGCTTGATGCCCTCCTCCCGTGGCTCCGAGTCATCTGCTCCCAGCTCTCCCTGCCTGTGCTATGCCTTCACTTCAGCCGTGGTGGTGAGTTCGCGGCCGTCTTGGAGCACTCTGCCGTGCGGAGGGCATCACCCAGACGTTTACCCTTCTGGAATCACCGTAGGAGAATGGGTTCCCTGAGTGGCGCATCGGCTTGATCATGGAGGTGGCTTGCACCTCCATGGTCCATGCCGGTGCCCCCCATTTTATGTGGTCGTTTGTGGTGCGGTAAGTGGCTCACTTGCTTAACCTATGGTCCAGCACCTCACGGCCACAAATTTCTCCGACCCTCCTCTGAACTGGGTCACATGGTGATGCCTTTGCATTCCACGTTTGGGGCTGCCTGGCTCACGTCCATGCCACCAGCGCGGACAAACTCTCGGCCCGCACCCTCCCCTGTGTCTTCCTCAGGTTCCCGCTCGATGCTCCTGACTGGATGTTCTTCTACCCGGTGCAGCACCACTTCTACACTCGCTTCCCTCTCCGTGTCACTCCTCTTCCTCCTCCCCCTCTCTTTCTTGCCCCTGACCCACATGTTGCTCGCCTCCCACCCCACCCGGCCCCTTCTGGTGTCTCCCACGCCAACCCCCTCCCCTCGGTTGGGCCCGTGCGGAAGTGCGCTGTCTTTGGGAGCCCCATGGTTGGGGGTGCACTTGCCGCAGTTATGGCACCCCTCTCCCCGGGCCCGGTGCGCTAGGTACCTCAGCAGCCTCCCCCACTGTGGAACCTGCACCAGCAGTAGCCGCTGCAGCCATCATCGCAGCTGTCACCGCAGCCGCAGCTGTAGCAGCAGCGGCGGGGGACCGTGGGTGTTGAGAATAGCTGTCAAAGGATCGAAATGTTCGAGAGAAATTTGCACAATCGATCGATACAAGGCGCTTTTATACTTCCAAGGTACATCAGGTAACTAGGTTTATCCTATCCAAAGGGAATAGACCCTTTTAGAAATAGAATCACCTTGTGTATAGCAACGCGATACTATTGGCTTTAAGGGATTATGGCAGGATTATGCTGGATATAGCACGGCAGTACATTCCGAGCCTCGTCGATGATATACAGGAACGGAAACAATTCTCCGGATGTCTTGCATTAATCATAGTTTTTTTGCTTTTCGACCACTATATATTAAGCCTTAATGCTTAATGGTGGTACACTTTGGGAGGGGCACATAGTGGATGCGTTCGCAATACTAAAATCCAGAATAGTGCATTGGATCTAACTCATAGTTATCACAGAGGAGGGTGCAGGTGGTGATCAAGGCCAAGGGTCGGTGGACTAGGTACTAGAAACGCTATTCGGAAGTTTGCTCTTTATCCTGGGAAACAATTGTCCGGATGTACTCGTATATCTTTTGGAGTATCAGTAAGATCCAATGCACACATCCACTATGTGCCACTTCCAAAGCATACCACCATTCAACATTAAGGCTTAATGTACAGTGGTCGAAAAGCCTAAAACCCCTAATTTATGCAAAACATCTTGACAATTGTCTTCGTCACTGTACATCCCCACACCATCACCGAGCCTTGTCCCCATGTTATCTTTGATATTAGACACGTTGAGGTGTGGCCAAAGATGCCATTAGCGGGTCGGCCCCGTCTTATCATGGACAGTCTTCATCGTACCGTTGTAAGGTAAAATCACGAACCGAGCAGTGAAACTAGCGTAGACGCAGTGAAACTGAGGGTAACTTACCATGGTCGGCTGTGCACCCTTGCACCATTAGAATCAAGCTAGGATCTGCAGGTCTCGTCATGGTGCAGCAGTCGAAGAAGCCATGACTGTTCTGGAAGAATATCCGGGACCGGCTGCAATTCGTGGAGTCGCATGCTGAGTGGACAATCAATGATTGGAAGCATGTGATCTGATCAGATTGGAACTGCTTCTGCTCCAACGGCCGTGCGTATGCCTAGATTCATGAAGGCACAACCTTGCAGGGCCA